TTGGTATTTGTATTGGGATTGCATTAAATGTGTAAATTGCTTTTGGTAGTATTGCCATTTTCACAACATTGAGTCTTCTTCTCCATGAGCACGGGAAAGAATGAGATTTGAGAGAGTTCCCAACACTGAGCTCCATGGCCCATATGATCTTTTCATTGCCAACTAGAAAGCTCTTAGAGCTTCAGTCTTCAACATATGTATCAAGGATTTTTGTCATGTGATTCTAGGATAGTCATTATGTTGCGTATCACAGTGTAATTTTTTTTTTTACTTTGTTGTTGAAATAGTCATTATAGTGAGCCTCACTATCTAAAAACTATTTATAAACAGACACATGAAGAAATAATCAAAATCACTGGCCATAAAAGTGATACAAATCAAAACCACATCTCACCCCCATAGCAGTGGCAAAGTTTAATAGGAAACCAAGCAATAAATGGTGGACAGGATGTGTAGATATTGGAACTCTCTTAAAATGGTACAACTCTAATAAAATGTACAATCACTATGGAAGGCAGTTTGGTGTTTCCTCAAAAAGCTTAGCATAGAAACTGCATACTACCCTGGTATTCCACTGATATGAATATACCCCAAGGAAATTAGAACTGAAACACAAAGATTTGTACACCTCTGTCCATAGCAACATCATTCACAATTGCAAGAACATGAAAACACCACAAATGTTCAACTACAATGACTAATGATTGTGCACACAATGGAATACTATGCAGCACTCAGTCAGGAAAAAACAATTTTTAAAATTACTACATAACTTGGGAGAGACTAAAAGGCATTATGCTGAGTGAACTAGCTCAGTCTTATAAAAATAAATTCTGCAAGGACCATTATTGTAAAAACAGAAAGATAATTTGTAAAACGTATGGGGATCCAAGAAAGGAAGAGGTGGAAAAAGAAGGATGAAGGTGGGAAAGGGAGGAAATCATAATGACACACAATTTGGTTGGTGGATGGATGGGAGGCAAAGGAAATAGGAAATATGGGAGGGGGTATCTAGAAAGACAGGGTAATGATGGATGTGATTTAATGGTGATTGATTTTATAACACATAACAAATGAAAATTATTGAAACAATGTGAATGAAGGATAGTGTGAAACACAATGTATACTAAATTTGTATGCAAACTAATATAAAATAAAAAAATATTACTTTTTTTAAAAAGAAAGCTGATATTCATAGATTGTTACAGCTATACCCTTTATTAAAAGGTTCTAGAGATTTCCTGGGAACCAAGATAAAAGAAGGGATCTCTGATTAAGGTGGAATTTTAATCACATATAATTAAAAGTATTAAGTACCAGAAGTAACAGTAGGTCATAATTGGTATTTAACAGAAATGGGGAAATTTCCAAGGTGGGGAGAAAGTCATTACATAGATTACTTCTGGATTATTTTATAAGAAAAATAGTAAATGTACTACAAAATCTTAAATAAGCAAATTATTATCAAGTGCCAAAGCAGTCACATGTCAGAATGTTACAGACAAAAATGGAACAGATTCTTGTAAAATATTTGTGTAAACAAAATATAAGTGTCTATTTAATTGTATATAATTGTAATTCTAGAAAATGTGTGAAATGTTTTTCTCAGTGTTTAGAAAATATAGTTTCCCCTCAGTGTTGGCCTGGTATAGTGAAGAGAAGAGACTTTGGAAGAGGATCAGAGGGATGAGAAGGAAGCATTGTTTTCAAAACATTCAAAATTACTTCTGGCATGTAATTTTTTTTTTTGAAAAATTGTAGATTTGTTGGCACCTAAATAACAATAACAAAATGCACAATTAAAAAACAATATAGTAAACCAGTAGAAATAAAAATTGCATGTAATTTTTTTTTTTTGAAAAATTGTATTCAATAAAATTTTATATTAATCTGAAAGAAAAAACCCTTATATATCTAGGAATACCACAGAATCATTGTTTGGAACAATATATTATGAAACAAAGATTGCTATTATTCTTGTTGTTGTTGTTATGTGCCATCGAGTCGTTTGCGACTCATAGCGACCCTATGCAAAACAGCCCTAAACCCTGCTCTATCCTGCACCAACCGCACTGCCCCTGACACACCCATCCTGATTACCCCAGTCACCGAATCAATCTATCTCATAGAGGGTCTTCCCCTCCTGCGCTGTTCCTCCACCCTCCCAAGCATGATGTCCCTCTCCAAGGACCCATCCCTCCTGGCAACATGTCCAAAGTATTATCAGACGAAGCCCCAGAATCTTGCCTCCAAGGAGTAGCTTGGTTTAATCCTCTCCTGGCAGTCCATGGTACATTCAGTACTCTTCTCCAGCACAACAGCTCAAAAGCATCCACTCTCCTTCTGTGCTCCCTAGTCATTATCCAACTCTCTGATTCATAACAAGCGATTGCAAATACCATGGCCTGTATCAGGCGCACCTTAGTTTCCAGAGAGACACCTTTGCTCCTGAGTACTTTAGAGAGGTCGCTAACAGCAGACTTTCCCATCACGATACGCTTTTTTGATTTCCTGACTGCTGGTGCCAAGAGTGTTGACTGTGGAGCTGAGCAAACTGAAGCTGTGAACAATCTCAATCTCTTCGCCATCCATCCTGACACTGCCAATTGGTCCAGTGGTGAGAATCTTTGTCTTCTTGACATTGAGCCTCAGTCCATACTGAAAGCTGCAGTCCTTGACCCTCTGAAGTAAGTGCATGAGGTCCTCCTCAGTTTCAGCAAGCAGGGTTGTGTCATCTGCATTACGCAGATTGTTGCTTGATCTCCCACCAATCCTAAAGCCACGTTTCTCCTCATAGAGCCCAGCCTCCCGGATAATCTGTTGTGCATATAGGTTGAAAAGGTATGGAGATAGGATGCATCCCTGGCATACGCCCTTCCCAATTTTGAACCATGCAGTGTTGCCCTGCTCTGTTCTGACGACTGCCTCCTGGTCCAAGTATAGGTTTTCACATTAGAACAATCAAATGTTCTGGGATTCCCATTCTTCTCAAAATCAGCCATAGTTTGTTATGATCCACACAGTCAAATGCCTTTGCATAGTCAATGAAACACAGATAGACATTCCTCTTGTATTCTCTGCTTTCAGCTAAGATCCATCTAACATCAGCTACAATATACCTAGTACCACGACCCCTTCTAAACCCAGCCTGGACTTCCGGTAGTTCTCTGTTGATGTGCTATTCCAGTCGTTTTTTGATAATCTTCAGTAAAATCTTGCTTGCATTTCCACCTTGATAGTACATAAAAGAAGAGGATCAGCATTGATAGACAACATCATGACAGAGGGAGAAAATATAGATCTTGTCAAAGACTTCATTTTGCTCGAATCTGCAATAACAAATATTCAGTGCTCTTCTACTACACTACAGCTCAAAGGCATCAGTTATTTTTCTATCATCTTTGTTCATTGTCCTGCTCTCAGATAGGAAAGACTATAGCCTGACTCAGGTGCACTTTAGTCTTTAAACTGACATCATTACTCCTCAGTATTTGGAGAGATGCCTAACTGCAGAATTTCCTCGTGCAATTTGTCTCCTTATTTCCTAAGTGCTGGTACCAAGCATGATAATTGTGAATGCAAGAAGATGAAGGTGATGGCAATTTCAAATCCTCTCCATACATCATGACATTGCCTATTGGTTCAGTGGTAAGAATCTTTTTTTTTTTTCTTGACATTGAGATGTAATCCATGCTGAAGGCTACATTCCTTGGTCTTCTGAAACAAGTGTGTCAAGTTCTCCTCATGTTCATCAGGCAAATTTGTGTCATCTGCATACCACAAATTAAAAGATTTCATCTGGCCCCAGCCACTGGAAGGTCCCAGACAATGAATTTGTCTCAATGGGAGAATCTCCGACAATTTCATCCACTTTCACAGGGGAGACTAAGCTTGAATAGCGAAAACTGCCACTTCAAAGTATGGATTAAATAACTTTTTATGATTATTCTGTGTTAGTTTATCCATGCAGAGAGATAAAATGTTCCTTTCTTTGAGGAAAAGGCCAGGATAACCCCCAAAACGTTCCTCCTTCTCTGTATGTGTGAGAAATTGGCTATATTTGTTAAGAAGAATATCTATTCTTTGCTCTCAATTAACATTGTATTTTCTCTCTTATACACCTTCTTGGTGTCGATAACTTTTTTTCCCTCCAGGTTTAGTATCAGTCATCACATCTTTAAAATGACATCCTGAAATTCTTGGCGTGTGTGCTGCGGGTGGTTGCGGGTTCCTTTGTTGTCTGAAGATGGCGTTTGACCTTCTTCTCTGCTCTGGTCACTACTTGGTGACCCTCAGGCCCATGTCCTGACACCCCGCGCGCTCTTCCTTCTCTCCCACACGCTCCAGTTCCCGAACTTCCAACTCCCTGGCTCCAGAGACAGGTGCTCCCCGCAGTGTCCTGGCCCGGCAGCTCTTGAACACGAGCTGCACCAAGTGCTTTGTCACCTGCACAAATTTCAAGTGCCGTGTTAAGTGTGTCCAGTCTAGGCAGCTGAGGAAGGAGAGGTTCCAGCTTGCATTTGTGTAAATCACAAGGAAGGATTTGAGCCCCTGTGAAAGGGAGTGTGGACCAGACATCGTTCATCTGCTTCCCGAGTATCCTGTGTTCTCCCACTCAAATGCTGTTCCTGACGTGATTTCTTCATATTAACAAAGATAATTGCCTTCGACCTGCTTTAGGTGGAGTAAAAAATGGCACCATTGTTTCTTAACGATGTGGTCATTTTCTTCAGCCAGGAAGAGTGGGATTTGCTGAATGTTGCTCAGAAGAAAGTCTACAGGGACGTGATGATGGAAATCTTAGAAACCGTGGGCTTTATTGGTAAAAGCCGTGAAATTGTTAATGACGGAGAAGCATTATCCCCTGAAAGTACAAAGTTGGAATTCTTGAGGACTGTCCATCCTTGGCATTCCATGTTGGCGAAAATGTTAAAATTGTGTGACAGAGAAGATCAACGTAATATTGTAGAGGCCGACTGGAGAAGTGTAACACTAGAGGAACTGTGTGAAGGGAGTGAAGAAAATAGCCCTGGGAAACTGTGCATCAGATTTCCAAATTATTCCTGCAACCATGTAGACATGAACTTGTTAAGGACTGACATTGGTGAAAGCAGCCATGCATGTAAGAAATGTGGGAAAGATTTCTGTACTTTCTCCTCTTTTTGGATACGTTTAGTAGATGGACATGAGACTACAGAATACGGTAATATCTATAGGAATTCCTCTTTAGATTTTCATGAAGCATTTAATGATTTAAACAAGCCTTACAATTGTACTGGAAATGAGAAGTGATTTTCTAATTCTGCCTCCCTTACTAGAACATCAGACATCACCATAAAGAGAAAAATGTACACTGTAGAGAAGCCTTATAAATATACGGTATGTGGAAAATCTTTTCTTTCTTTCTCATGGCTCAGGAGACATGCAAGAACACACAGAGATGGGAAACCTTATGAATATAACCAGTGTGGGTAAACCTTTCATTGGCCCAGACTTTTAACTGCCTATGCCAAAATTCACTCAGCAGAGAGGCCTTTTGAATGTAAGGAAGGTGAGAAAACCTTTTCTTGATCAAATCACCTCATTAAGCATACTCAAATTCACACAGGAGAGAGACCCTATGAATGCAAGGAATGTACAAAAGCAGTTTTAGAATCCAGTCACCTCATGAGACTTGGAGGAATTCAAGGTGTCGACAGAGATGTTATGATTGCAAGGAATGTATGAAGAGTTTCCATTACCTTGCTGATCTTACTGTGCACACAAGAATCCACACAGGAGAGAAGCCTTATGAATGTAAGGAATGTGGGAAAACATTTTCCCAATCAGGTAACCTCAGACAACATAGAAGATTTCACACAGGAGAGAGACCTTACCATTGTCAGGAATGTGGGAAATCATTTGCCCTGTCAGGTCAGCTCACAGTCCATAGAGTAATTCACACAAGAGAGAGACCTTATCAATGTGAGCAGTGTGGGAAAACGTTTACCTCTCCTCCTAGTCTTACCTATCATAGAGGAATTCACACAGGAGTGAAATCTTATGAATGTAAGGAATGTGGGAAAACCTTTACCAGTTCAAGTCCCTCTTTCAACGTAGAAGAATTCACACAGGAGAGAGACCTTTTGAATGTCTGGAATGCGGGAAAACATTTTCCCAGTCAGGTCATCTCACTTCACATCAAAGAATTCATACAGGAGAGAAACCTTATGAATGTAAGGAATGTGAAAAAAACATTTTTGCTTTCAAATTACCTTACTGTACACAGAAGAAGTCACACAGGTGATAGACCTTATAAATGTAAGGAATTTGGGAAAACATTTTCCAGATCAGGTCACCTCAGGCAACATACAAGAATTCACACAGGAGAAAGACCTTACCAATGTCAGGAATATGGGAAAACGTTTCTCTACCCAGCTAGCCTTACCCCACATAGAAGAATTCACTCAAGAGTGAAACCATGAGAATGTTAGGAATGTGGGAAAACTTTTGCCAGCTCCCCTCTCTCAACATAGAATAATTCACATAGGAGAGAGACCTTTTGAATGTCTGGAATGTGGGAAAACATTTTCCCAATCAGGCCAGCTCACTTTACATCAAAGAATTCATACAGAAGAGAAACCTTATGAATGTAAGCAATGTGAAAAAAACATTTTTGCATTCAAATTACCTCAATTGTACATAGAAGAATTCACACAGGTGAGAGACCTTATGAATGTAAGTAATGTAGGAAAACCTTTCTCGACCCTAGCACAGTAAGAAAACAGCAAAGAATTCACACAGGAGAGAGACCTTATGAATGTAAGGAATGTGGAATAACCTTTGCCAGTTCAAGTCACCTCTCTCAACACAGAGCAATTCACACAACACAGGAGAGAGACCTTACAAATGTCAAGAATGTGAGAAAACATTTCACAACCCAGGCTCACTAAGAAATCACCAAGAAATTCACACAGGAGACGTTAAGGATGTCAGTAATGTGGGAAAACATTTTCCCAAACAAGTCAGCTCACATTACATACAAAAATTCACCCAGGAGAGAGACCTTACCAATGTCAGGAATGTGGAAAATCATTTTTGCAATCAAGTCATCTGACTGAATATAGAAAACTTCACATGGGAGAAAGAGCTTATGAATGTGAGCAGTATGGGAAAACTTTGCCCAATCCGTTTCCTTTACCCAACACAGAAGAATTCAGACAGGAGTGATAGCTTATGAATATAATGAATGTGGGGAAAACCTTTGCCCAATCAGTTTCCTTACCCAACATAGAAGAATGCACACAGGAGTGAAAAGTTAGCAATGTAAGGAATGTGGGAAAACCTTTGCCCAATCAACTCACCTCTCTTCACTCAGATTTCACATAGAGAAATAATTTGAATGTTCAGCATGTGCGAAAACATTTTCACTATCTTGTCAGCTCACTTCACATAAAAGAATTCAGACAGGAGTGAAACCTTCTGAATTTAAGAAATGTGGGAAAACATTTTTAAATCAAGTGACCTCGTTGTATATAGAAGAATTCACACAAGTGAGATACCTTATGAATGTAAGAAATGTGGGGAAACTTTTGCTCAAGCAATTCACCTCTTGGCACAGAAGAATTCACACTGAAGACCTCTGGAATGTTCAGAATGTGGGAAATCTGGAAGAGCTCTGGTGGCCTAGTGGCAAGAAGCTGCACTGCAATCCCAGAGGAACACGGTTCGAGTCCACCAGACACTCTGCCAGAGAAGGAGGCGCAATATCCTCCTGTACCAGTCAGATCTGATTTGACAGTACACGCACACAAAATAAAAAAAAAAATAAAAAAAAAGAATGTGGGAAAGCTTTTTGAGAGTCAAGGTTTCTGAAAAAGCATAGAAATATTCACACCGGTGAGAGACCTTAGGCATGTACAGAATAGGGGGAAACTACGTTTTTTTTTTTGCCTTCCAGCTTAATTGTAAACCGAAAAGATGGCAGGAGAGAACTGAATGTCAGGAATATGGAAATTAGTTTTCCTGCCTTCATCCTAACTGTACATAAAGGTATTTATACAGGAGAAAATTTTAGGAATGTAAGGGGGTGTGCTGAAGGTGTTTGATGATCATTTTCCCTCATCAACCATAGATTATTTCACACAGAAAAGAAATCTTTGGACTGTAAGAAATGTGGGAAAACATCTTCACAGCACACTTTAGTAGACATAAAAATTCAGTCAAGACAGCGAATTTAAGAACGCAAGGATTGGAGGGAAAGCTTTTGCAACCCTTATGTGTGAATTGTCCCTGTAAAGTTCCCTGAGGATAGACCACCTGAATATAAGGAATGTGGGACAACCTTTCCAGAGTCAGATGCCATTAGGCCATGTAACAATGGATTCACATAGCACAGACCCTACAGGAATGTGACCAATGTAGGACAGAGTTGATCTATTCCCTCCTCTCTGGACATGTTTATACTAACCCTGCAGACAAGCTGTGTGAACGTAAGGAATTCAAGTATTCGTTCAATCCATCCTCTGCCCTCACTGGGCATTTGAGAACTCAGACTAGATGATTAAGTAAACTAAGAAGCAGTTAGTCTTCCTGATCATATCCTATAGGAGAACTGTCATTGTGTTTTGGAAAGTGAGACACTTGCACAGATTTTTCTACTTGTTCATGCAGGTAGGAATCCTTCAGTGTTTGTGGAAGCTGTATCTATTTTTGCACCACGGTAACACTGTAATCTTTGTATTGCTCCCGTGGGTGTTTGCAAACCAATTTATTGTTTCCTGTGTTTCAAATTAAAATTTTTCATTGTTAAGGTATACGTCATTGAATCTTATTCATAATGCCACAGATAACACAACCAGGGAAGTGCCATTTCACAGATTTTGAGGTTTACAATTGATATTTCCATGCAATTAATAAAATTCTCACTTGTACATGGAAAAAAAAAAGACATCCTGCTTCTAGCATGAAGTCAGTCTGGTTAATCCTCTACAAGGTTTTCCGTGCAAGGGCAAGGTTCAGATTTATTTTTTCTGAGCTCACTATGAGTCATAGTCTACTATGGCTATGCACCTAAAACTATAATATTCTGAACAGAATATACATGGATTAATCTGAATATTAATTGGGTTATAGACCTACTTAATCTCTGTCTTCCTTCTTGAACACTTGATCCATTTATAAGTATTGATTTATCTAGATTCAAACGTACTATGAAATTGAAAGTTTTCTTATTTCCCTTCAAGTCTATGATTAGTTGCTTTGGTTTTAGTTTGGTTGTATTTTGTTGGGAGACTTTTTCTGATTTGTTTGGGTGTTTTTGGTTGGTTGTGGGTTTGTTTGGAGTTTGTTTTGTTCTTTTTTTCCCTCCCTTACCTTTTAACATTTTCTTCTGAATAGTTTCAGGACAATTTATAATTTCATTTTATTTTTTTATTAATTTAAAAATTATACAGCATAGTTTTAAATACTTACAAAGATCTTCTAGAACTTATACCAAGTGTTCTATGTTATTATCTTCCTGTGTATTACCTTTTTCCTTCACCAATATTGTTATTTCACAAGGAAGAATTCAAGATACTAAAGAGCTGAACAGAAGATTCCAAAAGGCAGCTCGGAATGACAAAGCAAAATACTACAATGAAATGTGCAAGGAGCTAGAGTCAGAAAATCAAAAGGGCCGAGAGAATATTAAATGATCCAGGAAGTATTAAGAGAATATGGAAGGAATATACTGAGTCA